ATCCTCCTCTCCTCACACCCAGCCACACCGAACGGGGCCAGTCTGTGAGGCCAGTAGAATATACTAGTGTGGTTTCCAGAGTCAGGTCATAAAAGGTGTTGCGGATTCCTCTTTGTGTTCTCTGTCACTCGTGCTGAGGAAGCCCCCTGCCACGTTAGGAGGACTCCAGCAGGCCCCTGCAGATTCCAAGAGTGTGAGTGAGCTTGGCTTCCAACCCAATCAAACTGTGAGGAGACTGCAGCCCCACCCACCACCTGTCAGGCCCCCAGCTGAGTCACCCCCAGATCGCTGACCCCAGAAAATGAGGGAGGTAATAACTGCTCCGTACTCAGCAAGGGATGGCAGACAGGCACATTGTCAGTGTGCCAGGTGGCCGATCTCTTGAGGGCTTCAAGACATAATTCTTCCAGAAGGCCTTGTCCAAAAGATCCATCCCCTCCCTGGTGGGTTCAGTCTCTGCTTCTGTCTCTGTGGAGAACGCTGTTCCTCTGCCCCCTGAAACACCATTTGAGAGCATTCTCTGGGGTCCGGACTGGGAGGATTTCACCCTCGATATTTTTACACCACATTTGTTTTCAAACACCTGAAGGAACAACAGTGAGCTTTGCATATCCCTTGAGGCTTTTAAAAACCGGTTGGATTTAGATTTTGTTTATTTATCCATGGAGAAAACTGTGACTTGGGCAGCTTCTCGCTTATGGGCGTCTGCTCAGCACCCCAGGGGCCCTGTAGGCCCAGGGACTCTCTGTCCTGTGGTAAATTGTAGGTGACAGTCTCAGCCGGAAAGACGCCCTTGTGGAGGTGGGGACAACATGGAGCAGCAAGGTCTGTCTCTCATGGAGCCTGAGGAGAGGGGGATGCCGGGCGTGAGGGGGGTGTGCGGGGAAACGGCAGGACAGAGGGGCCCAGGACACCACCCGGGGGTGTGTGGCATCTCCTGTGGGGGCAATGGAAAGGTAAGGACTCAGAGCTTAGTCCAAGGACTTGGTAGGTTTCCAGTGTCCTGGACGATTGTGACTGGAGGAGCTGAGGTCCTCTTCCAGGTCTTCTGTCTACCTGCGGGAGGGAGAAACTCTCTGCATCCACTGGCTTTGCTCTCTCTTCCTGGTAGAGGTCACAAGCTTCAAGTTGGTGCCTGGCCTGGGGCCAGGACCTCAGCAGCCCCAGGGTCCCCACGGCTGGGCTGGAGATGTGGACGAGGGTGGGAGAGGCAGGGCCAGGCTCAAAGCCAGGAAGAGACCCCCTCCTGGGGAGTCCCCCAGTCCCAGCCCCAGGCCCAGTTCAGGAAGGTGACCCCCATCGGCCTCAGGGCTCTTTCCGATCCCCACCAGGAAGTTTTCTGTGAGCCCTCTGGGAGGGCCTTGAGTGTGCCTGACGGTGGCCTGGTCTGCAGTGGGACAAGACTCGTGTGACCCGTCCAGGCCTGGGCAGGCTGAAGCAGTTCCCAGACTCAGCCTTGGGGCTCGGCCAGGGTCAGAGGTAGAAGACAGGAAGACAAGCCTCTGGGCACACGGAAGGGACGGAGAGTCTGGAAGAACAGTAATAACTTGCCGCCACGCCTCAGGAGCCAGGGGCGGTGGAGGCCACTTCAGGCAGAGCCACCATGATGTTGGCACAAACATGGTGGAGCCTGCCGGCCTCACCACTACGAGGTCTTCTCCATGTGTGCCCAGGCTGAGACCCTCTGCACACAGCGGGCTGGGACGGGCAGGGAGGGACAGGCCAGCCCCTCTGAGCGACGCGCGTGCTCCGAAGGCGGCCTTCGGGGAGCGCCAGGCGCACGGCAGCCTCTCCACAACACAGCAGACTGAGGGTGTCTCTTGGCGGCCTAATGAGCTCGCTCTGGCCCGGAGACAGGCAAGACAGTGCCCTCATTGCAGGTAATAAGAATCACAATTAGGCCTCGGGGACCGGTTCATGCTCAAGGTGATTCATTTGTGGCACTGCAGCTGGCCAGGCCTGCGTTGGCGCTCGGGTGATGCAGACCTAATGGGGAAACACGACCCAGTGTGGCGCAGACCTGGCCCCGCCCACACCCCCAGGTGGCACTGCTCCGAGGGACCAACCCCCAAGAAAGCCAGCCGCACCTGTGATCATGTAAAATCGGGCCAGGCATGGCTCCCGAAAGCACACACGGGTGGCAGACGAAGGGCTGTGTCTTGTCATCAAGAAGAGACTAATGGGGTGCTCTCCAGGGGCACCCTCTTCCCGGGGTGACTCTTGATCCCAAGTGTCAGCATGTGCCTGGAGCTCACACAGGTGCTTATCTGTTTCCATCAGAGGTGACACCTGTCACCCTGGGCCATAGTTGTAGCCCAGAACTGATTGGAAGCCAGGCTAGGAAAAGTACTGAGTGCAGCTGTCTCTACCCCAGCTCTCAGACCCAGTGTCCCCAAGTCCCCGAGGTCTGTGGAGGAAGAAGGACTCCCTTCCTCTTCTGGGGCTAGGAGGCATCCAGGGAAGCTGTGTTTGTGGGAGATACTGGCCGGGTGGAAGGTGGCGGGCAGGACTTCGAGCCGGGAGGGTTCCATAAAGTGACCTCGTCTGGAAAGGAGGGTCCGGTCTCACCCTGCCTCACCCAAGAGGGCTGGGCCTCGTGAGAAAGCCGGTGAGGTTTGTGCAAGGGAGGAGACCTTCTGTGTGTCTTCTGAGGGAAAGAAGTGCACTTGGATTATTTCTGTCTCCCTACAGGGATCAGCCAGAGTCCAGTGTCCAGTCCTTAGTGCAGAGCTGTGAGAATTTTTAAGATCAACCCTCCAGCAATGGGCCAGTTTCCTGGCCCCTACTCGATGGTCACTTCAGTATGAGCCTTCATCACTTATGCTCTGCAAACCATTGTTTTCTGTCCATCCGTCTGTCCATCCATCCATCCATCCACCCATCCATCCATCCGCCCAAACCTCCAACTCTAGTCATTCACACAGAGCAAGGTTTGTTGCTTGCTGACTTCTGATCAGCACAGCTCTGTCATACATACAGAGAAGAAAAGAGGTTGGACCGGGGCACTTCAGATCACTCGCAATGAAAAGATTCATAGCAAGACAGGGCTTCTTCCTTCCCAAGGACGTCTGTGGGATTCTTTGGGATGTTACAACTGTGTTTTCCTAAAGAAAATGTTGGAGTCCTGACCCTGAGTACCTGTGAATCTGTCTTTCTATGAAAACAGGGTCTTGGCAGATATAAGCAAGGTGAGATGAGGTCATCTGGGACTGGAGGGGCCTTAGTCCAGCGAGACAGGTGTCTTTAAGCGAAAAAGAAGAGTGGACACGAGCCATGCAGGGGGAGGCCAGGCAAGGATGGAGCAGCAGTAGTGACCCACCCATAAGTCATGGAACGCCCATCATGGGCATGGCCAGGATCCCTGGGTGATGCGAGAGGTGTGTGGTGTCCTTTGCCACTCCTAGCCTCAGGAGGAACCAAGCCGCCGCCCTTGCAGCTGAGACTCAGCCTCCTGAGCTGCTGTCCTAAGCTACCTGGTGCCTGGTGTGGCCATCCTAAGCGGATACACTGCCCAAACACATGGGGCTCTTTCCGCATTTGCAGAGTAGGTGTGACACGGCGGTGAGTGGGCGTTGGTGGCCTGGACACAGCTGGAAGGCAGGGCCCAGGCTGGTCCCATAGCAGCCAGCATCCCAGGACCTTCAGGCAGAAGGCTGGGGCTCACACAAAGATGCCCTGAGCTCAGGGAGAAGTGAGGAGCTCGCTCGGATGGGCGAGCAGGCCCAGCATGCCTGTTGTCTTTAGAAAAAGGGACTTTCTGATGTAGGCAGGCACAGAGAGTGTCACACGGAGACAGAGGAAGACACAGGTGATGTCTGCACCAGGCAAGGGGCTCAGGAGCCCCAGCAAACGACTCTCTCTGGACTCAGAAGGTGCAGCCTCTGCCCATGCTGCCCTCCCAGACATCCAGCCTGCGTGCTGTGAGATAAAAAGCATGCATTGTTCAAACCACCCAGTTTGCCATGCTGTTACAGCTAAGTCCCTGCAGCCCGAAACAGGGAGAAGGCTGAGAGACACTGAGCAGGTGCAGCTGCACTGGGGCGCTGAGGCTGGGACCCCAGAGTTGACAGGGAGGTAAAGGAGCTTGCAGGACAGTCGTGAGCGGGGCAGAGCAGCGTCTCTATTTGTGTTCAGGACGGTGCCCTGCAGGGTCCAGCTCCCGGAACTTGGTGTCGGTGCTGTCTTGAGCTCTGGACACATAATGGCACCTGGGGCACCGTGTCTGCGGGACGAGGGCTCCCTGTCCTTGAGCAGCAAGCTCGGCGCTGCCTGTCTGTAAACACCCACCCTCCTATGTGTCTGTTTCCCTGTGGGGTGGAGACGGCAGAAACATTTCCCTGTGTGGACAGTGGGGACACTGGGACAACAGGAAGTGGCATTCTGATGGGGAAATGGGGGGCGGGCGGGGGGACCCCACAGTAACAGCACCACTGCGGGGGACGCGACGGTCTCGAGTTAAGATGCTGGCCGTCTGTCTGCGCCCTGCACCTGCTGTGCGGCATCTGTGAAGCTCAGGGTGTCTGAAAACAGCTCTGGGGGTCATTCACCCCGGCTCTGAGAAGGGGCTGCGTGGGGCCAGGGCGCCACCCACTGCTCTGCCTCGGCTCCCGGCTGCCCCGGCCTCTGAGTGAATGGGGCACCTGTCGTGGTCACTGCTGCCCGGCCGGGCACACACAGCCCCGCAGCTGCCCTCCTTGTGGTTTCGTTCAGCGCTGTGTGGATGGAGGGACCCCGGGGAGGCCAGTGCCCTTGCCTGCCCACCAGGCACTCCCGGCCTCCGCAGCTTTGGGGGCTCGCTCGTGTGAGTCACTGGCAGACCCCCCGGGTCCTGGAGGAGACACTGCACACAGTGAAGCCGCCCCATCACGCGTGCCACCCGCCTTTGACGCGGAGAGCACAGCGCACGGGCCACGGTGCAAGGGGGTTCCCGGGACCCAAAGCCAAGTGGGGGGAGTGGGCGCAGCCCCGGGAGGAGACAAAGGACAGCACACAGGCACGGAGTGCACGTTTATGTCTGGACAGCAGGGCAGCTATAAATGTACATCGCACGCTTCCGGTGTCCACGCAGGGGCTCGCGCGGGGGCAGTGGTCCGAGCAGGCGGTGTTCCTCGGCAACGATGTCACTCGGAGAAAGGAGAGGAGCGGGGAGAGGGCTGTCACAGGAGGGGAGCAGACCCGGGGCCTGGGCCGGGCAGGAGCTCTCAGCGCCCAGCAGCACCACGCCGGAGGGGAGAGGAGGGCCAGAGGGAGGCGGGCGGCTCCTGTGGGACACGGTCACTGTCACCGCTCACCGAGCTGGCACGGAGGGGGCATGAGGAGGAGGGAAGGAGCAGGGCGGGGAGGAAGGAGAGCTGGAAGAGAAGGGAGGAGAAGAGGAGCAGGGCAGAGGAGGAAGGGCGGGACGTGGGGACAGGAAGAGCACCCACAGGGAGGGCGCGGAGGCAGAGATGGCGCAGGGACCCAGAGGGGAGCTGGAAAGACAGGAAGGGAGGCAGCTGCAGGAGGCAGAGAGGAGGACTGACCCCTCTCCCGCACGTCTAGCCCAGCTCCGCCTCCCTGCTTGTCCCCCCACTGCCGCCACCAGCCCCAGATCGCTCTGACTCCCGGCGGGGCTTTCTGGAGGGCCTGGCCCGCTGTGCCCTCCGCTCCACCATCCCAGGGCACCGGACCAAGCCTGCGGGCACGTAGCCTGTCCCGTGTCACTTCCGAGACACCCAGCCCTGACACCCCGCGCCCCTCTGAGCTGGATCTGCCTCACAGCCCCGGGCAAGTTCCCAGACCGGGCTGTCCTCAGGAGGGGTGACAGACCCGACACCCCACAGCCCGCTTCCCTCCAGAGAAGCAGCCAGCAGCACGAGGCTCACGGCTTGGGTTGGACCCACCGTGAACACAGGTCACCCCCCAAAACGAGTCCCCTCGTTGACTGAGGTCTCAGGCTTTCCCGAGGGACGGCCCCTGGAGTTGACACGGATCCCAGGGGAACAGACAGGCGGGGTGCATGCGGGACACCGCCCACCCAAGGGACCCACAGCTTCGGGAAGGGGGAGGGGCGTCGAGGTGTGCACTCCGCACAGCTGAGCCTGCTGAAAAGAGCTCAGTTCTTCACTCCTGATGGAAACACCCCACCCGCCAGGGACCTCAGTTTACAGGAGCCTGCCCTGGCTCTCCCTCAGAGGAGCCTCCAGTGTGTGTGTCCTTGGTCTGTGGTTGTACAGATGGCTGTGGCCTGTTTGTCCATTTGTCCCGTCTTGGTCCTTCCTCTGCAGTTTCCCGGGCCAGCTTTGACCCGGTCTTTGGGAGACCATCACCTCCCGGCGCTGACCAGAGCCCCAGGCCCACTCACACTTCCTGCCCTGGTGATGCTCAGCCCGCTTTGCTTCCGTAGCTGCCGCTCTGAACACTGGAGCAGTGTGGATTGTATAAATCCAAATTTCTTTGATGACAGACAGAGGGAGACACTACCATTTCCCAGGAACTCTCAGGAGTGCGGCGATTCAGAACGCATTTTGGTTCCGAGTTTTGAAAATCTCGCCATGCACAATCGACCTCTTCACGTTGAGCAGATGTCCTCCTCTGGGACATGTGTAGTGCCACCCCAGCGGGTGGCATTTCCTGGGCCTCCACTGCCGGCATCACCCCTCCCTTCCCAGGGTGGGCCGCGGCCACACGTACCAAATTAAAGGCCGAAAGGTGAGTGAAACAGAGCGCGGCCCCGGCTTACACCTCCTCGCGCAGCCGCTCCAAGCAGCCGGGTGGGTCCGGGGGTCCCCCGGGGTCCAGGTCCTGGCAGACCCACTTGATGTCGTCTTCCCTGCTCATGATGATGGCGCTCTCGGCTGGGCTCCCGTCGTCCGGAGCGACGGCCGTGAAGGTGGTAAACGTCACTCTTTTCCTTTTCGAGGTAGGGGACACAGGGGGCTCGCTCCGCTGCCCTTTGCCCTCTGCGAGTGTGGTCCCCACAGGTGCGAACAGCGGCCCATTGGGGCCGGGCTGGGAGTCTGTGCTGAGGAGCAGGTACTTGCTCTCCTCGAAGTCCACGCCCCGGCCGAGCGCAGTGACCTGCTCCTCGGGGCAGGAGGCGAAGGCCGCCTGGTTGTCCAGCAGCTCTGTCCGGTGGCTCAGCCCCACCCAGTCGTGTGAGCGGCTCAGCCCCTCCTGCTCTTCGAAGGGGACCTGCTTGTGCCTGTACTTCAACACGAAGGTCACGCAGTTGATCAAGAAGACCACGATGGCCAGGCAGAAGACACCCAGCAGGGCGTACATCCCGATCTCCAGGTCGCTCAGGCCCTTGGTCGCCTGTGAGGAGTCACCCTCCTCCATCTCCGCGTCACTCCTGGGGACGTCAGCCTCGGGGAAGCTGGTGAGGTCCACCGCGATGGTCTGCAGGTGGCCGCCGTCCTCCAGCACGCTGCCCTGGCCCTGTTTCCGGGGGGAGGTCGGCCTCTGCGTGGTGCCGCCCCACCCCTCCCTGAGGCCCACAGAGGACGAGCTGCTGCGGAACTGCCCTTCTGGGGCCCGCCACTCCGGCAGGGGCTTGCTGGACCTCCTGTCACCGATGCCATCTTCCAGGTGACCCGCTGACCCAGCCTGCCGGATGTCACTGGCGTTGGGGTTGGCGTCGTTTTGGCCAAATTTCACTCGGACATTTGCCGTTCCCACGGCCAGCACGCTCTTGCGCTTGGACTTCTGGCACGTCTCGCTGATGACCATCTCCACCTTCACCAGTGCGCCCTGGCCTTCTGTCTCGGCGGCGATGACCGGCCACTGGAACTTGGGGTCCTGGTGGATGGAGACCACCTTCTCATCCAAGGACGTGGCCACCAGTGAGAAGTCCTGCCCGTCATAGATGTCCAGGGGTGTGACAGAGCCGTCGCTGAACTGCACCCAGCAGCTGATGGCTGCTTCCTGCAGAGGAGAAGAAGGTGATGAGCTCGGGCTGCAGAATGTTTAAACAGGGCAGAAATGGAGGCGAGAGGTCCCTGGGGTATGCAAGATGGACCCCCCAAAGCACCCGCCACAAAGGGACTCCAACCCAGGGCTGGTGTTAGGCACTCCTCAGTGAGGGATGCTGCTTTCCTGCAGGTGTCAGAAGAGAGGCCGAGGGTACCCAGAGCCTCTTCCGCACGGCCACACATTGCACGGCAGAGGCTGCTGCTGCACGGGGTCTCGAACATGGCTTACACGTTTACATGGAAAAGTTCATATTTTTACACTGCACGAATGCTGACTCTCCACGCACTGATCACAACACAACGGGAGCCCCAATCTAGACCAGGACCGGACCCCCAGAGGGGCCGTGGGTTTGGCTGGACTCGCCTCCCCCCTGGGGTCTGCAGGAGTAGTGTGGACACAGCCGGGGACACATTAATCTGGCCTCAGCTGAGAAGCCTGCTGGGCGGAGTGTCGTCCTCTACCGCCCAACCCACAAGAAGAACCGGGAGAGCCTGGAACCTGGGTCATGCTGCGTGTACTGAACACCCCACCTCTGACTCTTGTCATTTTGTTGGTTAATCAGCTTTCTTCGTGAATAGCAGTGGGCGGGGGTGTCCTTGAGCCAGCCTGTGATTCAGTGCCAGCTCTGCATTTCAGCAAAGATGTCAGTACCCTTGACTGTGGCTGGCGGCTGGATGCTTCCGGGCTCCTGCAGCTTCCTTGGAGAGCTGCCCTGTGCATGCCCAGGAGGACCAGAGCCCCCAGGGCATGTGACCTTGTCCCCAGCACCACAGTCTCGGCGGCACCGAGTGGCCTGTCCGTCCTAATCACACCTCTCTTCAGAGTGTGAAAGGAGAGACACAGGAGGTCCTGAGCGGGCAGGGCGTCAAAAGCTTCGGGGTGAAAGCCACTTTGGGGATGGCTCTGGTCCTGTCTGGGGTGTGATGGAAAGCTATGGTGTTTCAATGTTTAAAATTTTTATAGTAAAAGACACATTGCCACGAATCCCCCTCAAAGTAAACCTGCTCACTTGGAGCACACTCGTCCCGTCGTTCTCGCCACTGTCCGTAGCAGCTCTGGAGTCCTCCTCCCTGAGTGTCTTTAGCTGTGTTGTCATGATGTCCTGAATCAATTCAAAAATTTACCTTCCATGGTCATTTGACTTTGGGGAGGAGCCAGAAGTCACTCAGGGCGGGGCCCGGGGACTCGGCTGGGTGAGCACGCAGCGTGTGTTTGCACGAGCCTGCGTGTCCACAGGGCGGTGCTCGGCAGCAGCACTCACTGTAGTTTTCATCACACTTGCTAAAGACGCTCCTGAAAGAGCTCTCCAGAGCTGCTGCGGAAAGTGGCAAGGACGACGGGACGAGTGTGCTCCAAGGAAGAGGCGGGTTCTGAGGGGGCATCACGGCAGTGCGTCTTTTACTGTGATCAGTTTTTAAATATAACATGCCGTATTTTTGGATCAGCCCTGTGTAGGCAGATGTTTGGGGCACAGGAAGAGAAGAAACAAGACCAGCCCAAATCATGGGGTGGGAAGGGTTGTGCAGGCAGAGATTGTGGTGGTTTATACTGGTTTTGTGACTCCCCCATTCTGCCCCCACGGCATCGTTGCTGTGTAAGCTTGTTTGCTTCCTCTCTCTCATTTTTCTGGTTTTGTTTTTGTTTTTTGAGACAGGCTTTCACAGTTCAGACTGGCCTCAGACTCATAGTGCTCCTCCTGTCTCAGCCTCCCAACTGTGCCACCATGCCTGGCTTTGCTTTCTCTTTCTTCCAGCCCGATTGCCCCTGAACACGACAGAAGCAGATTTCATGCTGCTGCTGCTCAGCCTCTGTGAGGTGCAGGACAGAGGCTCCTGAGGTGTGGCTGCTGGCCTCCTCTCCCGGCTCAGCCTCCAGCCCAGCCAGGAAACATTTCCATTGTCAGTCACTGCCAGGACCGACTGCTCCCCAGAGCCCCTGCAGGGTCCCCTGGATGCGACCAGGTTTCCAGGTTCTTCTGGTCAGCTCTGCAATCCTGGCAGAAGCCCAAGTAGCCAGGGTGGAGCCAGCTGCCCGCAGGGACCGAGGCCACCCGAGCCGCCCTGCACCAGCCCACATGAGGCGCTCAGGGAAAGAATCGCTGTGTGGCCTCGTCCCGGCTGACCCCGTCCCTCCCTGGCAGTCACCTGATTGCATCATTGTGTCCGCAGAGGAGGAAGCCCGTGGCAGTTCCTCCTCTGCTACCACAGCCCGCATCCTGGCTGCGCCCCTTCCCTTGCTAGAGGGAGCTGGAGTTGGCTGGGATTCCTCTGTCACTGGGAGCATTGTTTTCAACGGTTTCTGATGCCACCCTGTTCACTGAGGCCCGGTGAGGTCTGAGGGTTGAGGGCTGGACTGCGCCTGCTGGTGACCTGGGGGCCTGTGCGGGCTGCGGAGGGGCGGCTTGTGGCGCCCATGAGTCTGGGAGGGTTCTCCTTCCTGCTGGCACAGTGCGGTCTCAGTGGGCGTCCGGGCAGCCAGCAGGCAGGGAGGGCTCCCAAGGGGGAGGGGGAGGGGAGGGGGATGGGAGGGGGAGGGGAGGCTGGGACCTGTCCGTGGGCAGGGGGCCCCTCTGGGCCACAGCCAATGCCTGTGGTCCTCATGGGGAAACACTCTTCTCAGCATTCCTGGGTCAACATTGTCTGTCTGTCTGTCCACAAAGGAAGAGGGAGGTGGACATTCCATCTGAAGGTCCCCTCCTCAGGGCCACCTTGTGGTCCACACCCATACTGCACACACTGTACACGAACACACAACACAGAGTGCGCTCCAAGCACACCCACACACTTGGGCACGCACACCTCAAACATACACACAGCTGTGACCGACATACACAGACACAAGGCTCTACATGTGCTTGGAGACACACGCACACAGATGCGTGAGAAGCACACCACACACAAACACAAAGACACACAACACACACACACTGCACGCACTTGCTCAAAGGAAGAAGAAATTCGTGATGGACATCGCCATAGGCTGCCCGTGTCCCTGGAGCGCCCCAGCGACTGATGCGTAAACCACTGCCTCTGCCCCCTTCTGCGCCCAGGCCACCACCGGCTCATCCCATGGCTGAGTGAGGTCCAGTGAGTTCAGCAGGACCACGTGGACAGAGGTGGAGAGAGGCCGCCACCCGCGTGTCCGTGTGACAAAGACGGGGGCGCAGGGCGTCTCGCCCTGTGGCTGTGACTATCTACTGTTGCAACACTCGCCCACCCACTTGGGGAACCGGGAGCACCAGGAGCTCCGGCATCTGCTGCACAAGTTCCCGGGGAACATACCCGTGGTCCCCTCTTGCGTGGCCCTCCCGGTGCCCGGCTCAGCTGCCTGATAATATCTCCACCTGAGGGGACCGGCCTGAGGGCGTGAGGCCCGCCTGACAGGAGCGCCCTGGCCGAGCACCCCGGCCCTGCTCTCACCTGTCTGCTGTGAGTTTCAGGGGTCCGAGCGCCCTGGCCGAGCACCCCGGCCCTGCTCTCACCTGTCTGGGCCTCTGCAGCAGCTCCTGCGCCACCGCGGTGGCGAAGATGGCTCTGTTGCTCCCTGGGCTGAGCTGTAAGGAGAGGGACAGTCCCGTCACCAGCTGGACCCCGAGGTCTGTGATGGTCACCTTCTCATCCAGCACGGTGATGGTCTTCTCAGCCAGGATGGCGTCTGACAGAGGGGACAGGATCTGGGGGCAGACGGACAGAACAAAGAGAGGCTTTCTGTGTCCCCGGGACTGCCCCGGGACACAGCGGCAGGGGCGCCGAGCGTGCGGCACGGTGGCGCTGGGTTCTCCCACTAGCACCTTCCTGGATCCTGAGTTTTCCAGAGAAAGACAGGGCAGTGCTGTGGCCACCCTCGGACCCCGCTTGCCCCGTGCCTCCCTTCTCGACAGGGGAACTGGCATTTCCCTGGTCTGTGTATTCTGCGTACACCTCTACAGTACCACTGTACGCTACAGCGACTTACTTTATTCAGATCACGTGTTTCTAAAAAGCCTCCACATCCCTGAAACACTGGGGTTTGAGTCGAGACTGTGTATTCATCTATTCCTCTCTCGCACACGGAAACCACCGCCAGGCAGCCTGCCTGGTCTGCGCTCCGTCGAATGCGCTCCCTCCTCAGCTGAGGCCTCACTTTCCACATGCGAGGAGAAGGGACTGTGACCCCAGCTATGCCTGGAACCTCGTTTCAGATCCTCTGCCCCTGGTGCCAAAGTGCCTGTCTCTTTTCCTTCATGTGCACCTGGCACACGTGTGCACACCTCACACGTCATGCGGAAGGCTGATCAGACCGTCCTGCTGGGAGTGTCAGGTGCGACCTCAGACTGTCATGTGCTGGGATCACTGGCAGGGCCCCCAGGCCCGGCTCAATGTAAGGAGTGTTTTAAAATGTAGTCAATGCACTATCCCAGCTTAAAGAGAAAAGAAAAAGAAACCCAGTGGTTTAGTGAGAGCAACAATCAATGCTTAAAATTTTCTTTTTTCTCAACCAATTTTGCATGCTCGAATCTGATAATCAGAATGACTGATCTGAAAACAACGGTATGCAATATAAGAACCACTGTCGGACTCTTGCCATCTTGTGTGGTGAAGCTCTGCATCATTTCCAATGTTTTTTTTTTATTACTTGTTACTGCCTTTGATTGTTTGGTCAGTCTTACATTCTTACGTGTGGTGGGCTGAGCAACTTCGTTGAAGATAACAGCATGTAATGTAGCAGCCATTGTTAATTCCTATCATTCTGTTTGGAGGTCATCTATCGTGTTTGTTGTTTTTGTGTTGTTTTGATTTTGTCTGCACGGTTGTTTTGTTAATTTTTTTTAATTTTCAAAATAAAAAAGCTTATGAGAAAAAATGCAGTCAGTGATCCTACTCTTTAAGAAAAGCCAGATTTTGTATAAAAAGAGAGCACCAGCCTTCCCAGGACAGTGGTACGTGTGGCCACACTGTGTGCTTCGTGTGGACCTCGTGGCTCCCTGTCCCCTAATGCCAGGCCCGGATCTGTGACCATCCTGCAAGTCCCGGCCAGCCTGGCCTCACAGAGGCACCTCGCAGGCCTACAGCCACGTGTGCATGCGACGTTGGTCCGCAGCCGGGCCTGCCCGGAGGAGTCCATCCACAGGTGTGATCGGAGTGCTGGGAACCAAGATGGCCCCACGCGGGGCACGTGCAGACCTCCGTCCTTGTCGTTACGCTCTAAGAATAACAACTGTCTACACAGCATCCACACTGCATCAAGCGTGAGTCATCTAGCCATGATTTAGCTGGGCAGGGCTGCTCATGCCTGACACCCCTGCAACTTGGGAGGCTGAGGCAGGAGGGTTGTGAGTTCAAGTCCATCCCTGCCAGCCCAGTGAGAGCCAGTCTCAAAATGAAACACAAGAAGGGCGAGGGGTGGAGCTGCGTGCAAAGGCCCTGGGTTCAGTCCCCGGCACACCAGGGGGAACAACCACTTAGCAGGCTGTGAGTGGGAGCTCCAGGTGCCCTTGCTTAACACCCTACTGCTTAATGACTGTTCCCACTTAGGACCTGCTGCTTGGGCTAACGGTGCAGAAACATGAGTAGCGAGAGGCCTTGGGTGGCTTCTACAGTAACCCCCTCAGAGTCGTGGTTCGGAGTTTGAGGCCTCAGTCATTCATGGACTTTTCTTTGGAACCTAACTAACATGTGCACAAACCATCACAATTTTGCAGAAGCTGCAAATATCATATCCTCAATTGTTTCTTTGGCGGTAGGTTTGCAAGTAGCCAATCGGAGAGTGTTGTTCAGTTCTCCTAGCTGCTGGTTGGCTGCTGCCTGGTAACCCAGCCCCGCATCATAGCAGCCTGCCGTAGCTGTCTCCAGTGTTCTTGGCTTTGTTCTTAAAACCCTAAGATCCCTAAGAGGCCGCCAAAACACCCTGCATCTTCTAAGGCTTTATTGATACAGTATTTCATTAAGTTAAATTATATTACTGGGGTAGACATGGCATATGTAGGGTTTAAAGTATAAAAATAGGCATTTCAAGGCATTTTCTGATCATATCTGACATTGGCAGTGCTTTGCAGTTCGTGGGTGCTCCAGGAACATAACCCCTGTGAGTTTCAGGGGTCCTGTGAGTTTCAGGGGTCCACTGTACTGTAATTTTGCTGATTGTCCTGTACAGTGCTGTGGTTTTGTGTTCTGATACACATGACAGTGCTGCATGGAAGAATTATGCAAATAAAAGCAAAGTCATCAAGTCGGAATCTCCTTTGCTCTGAGCACTGTGATGCGCATGCCTGGTCCGCCTCCTCCCTCATCCAGTGACTGATTCAGTTAGAGACCTGGCTGCAGGACCGGAACTCAGGTGGCAAAGGAGGAGGGTCTATGCGGAAACGCCATGGTGGGTGATAGGAGGCTGAGTGCCCCCAGAGTCTGTGCTGGGGGAACTGATCCCTGTGGATTCAGGGAGGGCTGTGTCCCCCTCCTCGAATAAAATGGCGTCTTTCAAACACCACCCTATTTGCCAGAGGGATACGTTGTGGATATATATGCCGTAATCAGATCTAGCATCAGCCAGAGGATCCCTCGTGCACAGCTGCTTAGAGACCCAGGGGCTGCCCAGGCAGACGCTCCTCCGTCCCCTGACGGGGGCAGCACAGCCCTTTGCCCCCTGGTGGGTGGAACGTGGCAGTCGTGGGCCAGTGCTCCTGAAAGCTCCGGCCTCACGGTCTCGGCGGTGGCCCCGGTCCCTCCGCACTGCCCCCAAGTCCAGCTGAATCAGAGCGCTGTCCTGGCCACCAGCGAGGTGGCAGTGGTGTCACAAAGGGCGGAAGCTGGGTGGGAAAGATCGGGGGCAGGTGGCATCGAGCTCATTTCCCAGGATGCTGAGACCCAGGGTGGCCAGGGCAGGCGGGGCTGGGCTGTCACACCTGAAGGGGCCTCAGCTCTGCGGCATTTTTCCATTGCTGTTGTGCAGCTCCATTAAAGCCACCCAGTGACAGCATCTGTGCTAAGCGACAGCTGTCAGCGGGGTTCTCGAGGCGGGGCCCGGGCAGGCCTGGCCTCGGGGTCTTACCTGGATGGTGGTCATGCCCAGCTCCTGCCCGGTCAGGACTTGTCCCCCTAGCAGCTGGGCGATCCTGGGCTCCTCCACCTGCATGAAGTCGCTTATCAGCTCTGTGATGTCCACTTGCCAGTCGGGGCCCAGCAGGTGGGCCAGCTGTCCTCCAGGGCCGGCCGCCTCGGCCACGAACTGTGTCAGGACCCGCACCATGGCCCGCTGGAACTGCAGCGCGCAGCCGCGGCCCCGCCGCTCCTCCTCGTCCTCCTCCTCGCTGTCCCGCACTGGCCTGTGGAAGAGTCAGGCCAGTGGGACAGACAGGTACGTGCCGGGACATCTGTGGGGCTGTGCGGGGGCTGGGCCAGGTGCTGCCCCTCGGGAGCTCACAGCTCAGACTCAAGGGAGGCTTGGGGTGTATTTATATTCACAATAGCAGGAGGCTGGGCCACTTTCGGGATGCGGTTTTAAAGACTGTGACATCTCACGGCGTGGTGGCACACGCTTATCATCTCAGTACTCAGGAAGCTGAGGCAGGAGGATTGCTGCAAGTTCAAGGCCAGCCTGGGCCACATAATGAGTTCAAGGCCAGCCTGAACTACATAACAAGACCCTGTCTCCAAAAACAAACAAACAAACAAACAAGACGGGGGCATAAGAGTGGCTTGTGTTCTCTCTCCCTGGCTGTCCCCATCAGCTTGCCCTGATAAAGTAGGTGTCCCGCACTGCCCTGTGGCTGGGAAGTGGACACTCAGTGTGGACCCGCCCTGCTCACAGGTGGACAGCAACCTGCAGAGCCCCAGGTCATGCAGCTGCTGGGCTGTGCCTGCTCTGCGATCCCCAGAACTGTAAGACAAAGCACAGTGTCCTTCTAGACCAGTGGTGGGGAACCTCTGGGAGGCTGGAAGCCCAAACTGCAACCCACACCCCTTACTTACCCCAAAGTGCCAACACTGCAGCTAAGCCTGGATATCCGATGCTCAGCTATTCTACACCGTGCTACATTTTTGGGTAATTTTTCTGAAGTACTGGGGACTGAATTCAGGACTTTTGCACTGAGCTATGTCTCCAGTCCTCTTTTATTTAACTTGATTTTATTTTGAGACTGGGTCTCACTAAGTCACTATGTTGCCCAAGCTACACTAATTTTCAGTCCTCCTGCATCAGCCTTCCCGAGTGCTGGGACTACAGCTGTGCACCACTGGGCCGAGCTTGGGATAACTTTTAAACTTTGGGGTAAGCGCTAAACTGCACAGCAGTAGGAGACGGGATGATAAGGTCACTCAGACTGCAAAGCCTCGTAAACAGCAGAGCCAGGAGCAAGGATTCAACCCCAGGAGAGGCTCAACACAGTGACGCAGCAGAAAGGACCCAGGGGTGGATGCAGACAGATGTGAGCCACTCCCTCAACATCTGCACCTGACTGCAGCAGCCCTGTTACACCTCCATCCCCTCCAACGAAGTCCTGGCCATGCCTGGACCTGGCCACGTGGCAGCATCTGGCAGTCGGCTCTCGCAGTCTCTCCCAGCAGCTCCCCTCTGCAGCACTGAGAGTCACTCCCAGCTCCACCCACCCACCTGACACTGGAAGTCCTGCTCAAGAGCCACTGCAGTGGCTCTCTGTGGCTTTCCAGGGGACCCACAGCCACCACATCCAGCCACCCTCCTGCCAGGGGTCCCAGGACAGAGGGAAGGAGTGTCCAGGTCCCCTAAGTGAGAAGTCCACAGCCTGCAGGCTTCTTTCTGTGTCTGTTCAGCTCGCGCCAACCGTGTGCGCTTGCCGAGTCCTTTGGGCACACGGAGCTGTGTGCCTGGTTCCCCTGAGGTGACGGTCATGAGTGAGAGGCTGAGCTCCTGTGACTTCCTTGCTAGCAATCGCTTGGCTGCCTGGAGGACAGGTCTGCACTGGGCAACAGAAAACAAGACCTAAACTTGATTTTGCTGGGTGGGATGGTACTGAAGAGGCTGAGGTAGGAGGATCACCGCAAGTTCAAGCCCAGCCCTGAACTGCACAGTGAGACCTGGTCTCAAAAAAAAAAAATAGAAAAGAAGCTTCAAATTTGATTTCACCAGAGCCAAGAGTTCAAGGCCCCCTGGAACAGGGGCAGGGAGAGGCCATACTCTCGGGCATACTCCATCTTGATGTCCTCTAGGGGACATCTGCCCCTTGCTCCTTCCCACAAGCCAGCCCTTCTGCTAGCTCCCCTGGCTCCACCGGGGCCCTGAGCCCCAGGTAAGGGGTGGGGTGCAACCCAGTGAGGATAAGACTTAAGTCTGGACTTTTTCTAAAGTATTGAGAAAGGGAGGACACACTTTCAGCAGGAGCTGCAGAGAAGAAAGGGTGGAAGTTTGGGAGCAGATGAGCGAAGTCTGACCAGGGATGCATCCTCCAGAGCCAAGGGAGAGACACCCTGTCCTGAGGATGCCACGTGGACCCTTGGGTCCAGTCTCAGCTCGGGTGAGCCAGGCTGTGCGCAGCCCTCTGAGTCCCAGCGCACCCGTCCTGTTCCTGCGATAGTGTTCCCGCACAAGGACGTACCTTTTGTTGGAGACAATGGGGACTCTCCAGCCCTTGATCTGGTTGAGCTCTGTGTCTGACACCTCAATCTGCAGTGGGAGCCGGGGTACCCACACTGTCATCTCCAGGGGGCTGACCAGGTGCTGGTAGGAGAAGGTGACCACCACATTCACCTTGCCTTTCATCTCCTTCCCATTGACAAAGACGTAGTCACATCTGTCAGACACCTACGAAGGATGGGAGGGAGGGGAAGCTGAGTTTTGTCATATCCCATGGTCAGAAACGGGAGATCCATGGGGCTCTTGGCCTACTGTCATGAGGACTGAACCCCAGGGTAGGGGAGATGCACTGTTACTGCCGTTTGGAACAGCTGATGTCGCTACAATAGCTGCCACCTCAGATACCACAGAAGCAGCTGAGTCAAGGGCCTTTTATACCCAGCTGAAGAGGCAGCTGAGTCAAGGACCTTTTATACCCAGCTGTAGTGGCACATAAGCCACTAGTAAGTGAAATCTCATATATTTAAAGTGTGCAACATAATGTCTTAATGTATATGGTGAGTGATCACCAGATTCAGGTTATTCACACACTTCGTATCCCCACCATCTCCTTTCTGTATGTGTGTGTGTGTGTGTGTGTATGTGTGTATGGTGTGAGACAATTCACTGTCTACTCTCCCGGCAAATTTCAAGCACACAGTATGCCATTAATAACTGGAGTCACCATGGTGTGCATTAGGTCCCCAGGATTATGCATCTGACATAACTGGAACCTGTGTCCTTGACCGTCACCCCATGCTTCTGCTCAGCCCTGGCAACACCTTTCCCCCTCCACTTCCATGAGGTTGATGGTTTTAGACCCCACATCAGTGAGATCACGGGGTGCCTGCCCTTCAGTGCCTGACTTATGTCACTCAGCGTGCTGTGCAGGCTCCTCAGGAATTACAGGGCTTCCCTCTCTGAAGGCCGGATGCTGACCGCGACGTGGGTGCCCCTTGTCCTTATGTGGCCATCTGTCAGTAGCACTCCAGTTTTGCCCAGGGTGCCACTTTTCTGAGTGACTGGGTGAAACACCCCAAGATGGGCGATGACCCTCGGGTGTTAGGTGTACCCTAACCGACCTGTCCTCATGAGAGGGAGGCAGGGGACACTTGGGGCTGTGGTCGTCCATCCACAGGATGTGGGGCTGTCAGCTGGAGGGTAAAGAAGGGTCAGGAAGCGTAGAAGTCACTGTGGGGAGCCCTGCCCCCCCCACCTGACTGCAGACTGAGCTGCGGACAGTGGAGAAGGCGTGTGGACACACGCCACACATGGCCCAAGGAGGGCGGACCGCTCCCTGAGATGCCTGTGGGGCAGCACGGAGTCCAGACCACACTCTGCCCCCAACTTTGCTAGCTGAGTGGAGAGGTAGGGGAGACCAGAGGAGCCCCCACTTACTGAGCACCTGGGACATGACAGGGCTGAGCAAGGCCCGTCACTTGGATTGGGGACCAGGCCACCTGAGAGGCCAGCCGGGGCCACTGCACCGCATCTCACAGGTGGTAAATCAAAGGCCCAGAGACATTCGGTCACCTCTGTCCAGACAAGGCTGGGTGCTCGGCCCGGGTCCCACGGCTGCCTCTGCCCCCAGGTGCCACCCTGCCTGGCGCGCTCTCAGCTCCCATCTTTTACAGGGGAAACCCCTGGGTGCGTCAGAGCGGCCACGGGAAGCAGAGCTGAGGTGAGCAGGCTGTGCCGCATCCTGAGAAGCATTTCCAGCAGGGTCCTCGTGTCCCACAGGGCAGCGGGACAGCAGCACGGCAGGGACAGGAGCATGGCCAGGGCTGCGGGTCGGCTCCGCAGAGGGAAGGGAGACTGCACAGCTCCACTCAGGAGGCGGAGCTTTTCACCCTCCATGGTGCAGCAGCTCGATCTGATTGTAAGGCCAGTGCCACCAGCCCCCGAGGCCCAGGACAGTGTGGCTACAGCCCACCCTTTGGGGCCAGGGCTCTCTGGGGGCCACGGCGTTTCCTCTTCAGCCTTGTCACTCCGGCCAAGAGGCACGGAGAGTGAGACTTCCTGAAGGAAGGGACGGGGAGAGACAGGGGGAAGGAGGGAGGGAGGGAGGGAGGGAGGGAGCCAGAGCGTCCTGGCGAGGCTGTGTGTGTCCAGCTGTCTTCTTTTCCTCAACTTCTTCCCCACGGTAACGGAGGAGGTAATGCAACTCAGGGCCGCGAGGAGACAAGACAGCCGTGGAGAGAAGGCGGAGGGACGTCTGTGCCGGGCGCTTCCCAGACACAAGCCTCGCTGCCCGCGCCCGGGAGGTGGAGCTGCGATCCCGGGTCCGCGGCCCCGTGCGTGCGTGCGTGCCTGTGTGCATCTGCATGTGTGTGCAGAGTGTGCCCGTGCTGCTGTTTAGATCAACTACTAAAAAGAAGCAGCCCATCGCTGAAGCGCTCGTGGTCCTGGCGCCGTGCTCAGGGACTTGCGCACGCAGTCTGGACACGCCTGTGACTTCCGGTCCTCCCCCAGGCTGGCGTGAGCTGCACCTTCCTCCCCGCAGCCTCCTAGGAATCGTGTCATTTCCTGGGCGGGACATTCCTTCCCGGGAGGAGGTGGCGACTCCTCTCTCTGAGTGACCCTCGTGGGTCTGCTCAGGCTGAAGGCTGAGTCTCTGTCCTGGGCGGGTGTAGTCAGGCCTGTGGCGGTCGGCTGACCGTGGCTCCAGGCGCCGCTCAGACCCTGGGAGGCTCTGCTCTGGTGGCCCGGAGGAGCCCTGGGGGCCAGGCAGGGATGGACACTGGCCTGAGCCGGGCTGCGTTCCCTTTTCTGGATCCGAGCGTGGGGCTCCGGGGCTTCGAGGTGGGAGGGGCTCAGAGGTAAGAGAATCTAGTAGAACTGCGGATGGAGCCATGCAGGGAAGAGGGAGGGCGAGCTCAGAAGCCAGGCATGCTGGTGGCAACAGCTCCTTGCTAAGCCTCTCTTTGGGGTTTCCTTGGACTGAGAGACCTTCCTGACTCTTCCTCCCCGCAGGGTGCCGGCCCCACCCTCACTGCCCAGGTGCACATTACCAGGACCCTCCTGCTGAGTCTGGGGTGCCTGGGGTTGAGCCTGGGTGGGTCCCCTGCACCCCTGCAGGAATTAGGCCGGAACCCTGGGCCCTCCGGCTTCCTCATGCAGAAGGTTCCCTGACGCACGGAGCTCAAGGCTCTGCAATCATCCTGGGTCGCAGAGGGTCCCACGTGCTCTGGCAGTGCCCCCTAAAGATGGGGCAGGGGGTCCTGTCCTGTGTCACCTCTGCTCTCACCTCGCTGCTCTCTCCTGCTCCCCTCCCTGCCTCGGGGTCTCGCTCTGGATGGCACATGTACAGGAGAACCTGTTGCAGACTGTGCTCATGACCTCTGGCTGAAAGGTGACCGACAGTCCAAGCGAGATAATTTAGTAACCACCGCTTTCCCTGTGGACGGTCGGAAGGGGCGAGCTAGCCACTCTCTATCTCCTGCATAACCCGCTCCGGGCCAGCTGCGCTGTTTGGCCTGGAGACAGAGTTAATATTTCTGACTCCAGTGGGCATAATCCGACACTTATGTGAATCTAATGCCAGTTCCTTCTTTTCTGTTTAAATGCTGGATGAATTTAAATCTTATTTAAATATCACCAACATTCCTGGCAGAGTTTATGTTCCTCTGATATTTTCCCCTTTCCCATTTTTTCACCTAAGGGCTAAGGCTAAGGGTATTAAAATTTCATTTCCCCCACAGACTTTGCAGGAAAGTCCCTGGGGAGAGCCTTCACATGGTCCCAAGCCCTCAGGATATTTTTCTGGTTTGCTTTTAGACAGGGTCTGGCTACGTGGCTCAGCTGGTCTCAGACTCACCATATAACTCAGGCTGGCCTCAAACTCACAGTGACCCTCCTGCCTCAGCCTCCAGAGTGCTGGGATTACAGGTGTGCACCTAGCCTATGGTACCTTTCTTTGATGGGTCCTTATCCTGGACTAACACAATCACATTAGTGATGCAGGGTACAATAAACATAGCAGCTAATATTTATTGTTTGCTACCTGCAGTACCAGGTGGAATGCTAGTACCTCATTCCACTTAAACCTTGCCACAACCCTCTTAGACTGGCCTCAGTTATGCCCATTTTCCAGATGATAAAATTGGGGCTCAGTGTTGTATAGCTGCAAGGACCTGCAGTGCTGGGTGAAAGAATCCTTCTGGGTCAGTTTATGGGGTGGGAACTAGCCTCCCTGGGTGCCTGCTGCTGAGGTACAGGAGGCTCTTTTCCTCCAGAAGAGAAACGTGTTTAAGTGGAGGCACTGGGTGAGGGAGCAGTCCAGCCTGGACTCAGCCAGGATGGGTCACAGCTGCCACACGGAGGAATAAGAGTTGACTTGGGCATTGACTGACTCTATGACGGTCTGAGTGCCCCACCTCCATTCCTATACTGGAGAAAGGGATTTTACAGGGCTGATTTGGTTACAACGGGTCCCAGGCATGGGCTGGCACAGATGGAAGCATGCTTACCCTTGGGAGGCTGTAGGAGGCATAGTGCCCTGTGCCATGGGCTGGGAGCAGAGACCCCATGGGGACAGAAGGCCGCACACACCCAGGGAGTGAGGCGTGGAGAGGAGCCCTGCCAGCCCTGGCCTTGGCCATCGCTCCAGACCCCTGGGAAGGGCGTCAATCTTTCCAGCCCCTGGCACCAGGCGCTGAGACAGCAGAGGGCTCCACAGAGGGACTGCCACGCCCTCGGTCCCGCACCTGCTCCCTGTGTGGGCCATGGAGGCCTCTTACGTTTGACTCGAGCAGTGACCAGTGTGCCATTCTTCCTCTAAAGTCATGGATTTAGAAGCCCGAGGCCGTGACTTTTGGTAACCGCTCAGCCCCTCCTGGTGAGGGGAGCGGCCCACTCAGAACGCTGTCTGCTCTTCGCTCTCCAGTCACCCCCAGGCGGGTGTGTGGCAAGGCCACCAATGACAGACAACCCCCAGGCGCGTCCTCGGGCAGCACAATTGTGGCCTCAGCCTTATCCATGGGGAACAACCAAAATATACGGGGAAGGATTACATTTGGAAAGTTTATTACAGTAAAGGCACCCTTAACCAGCCTCACACTGCTCCCTTGTTTTGAGAACATTCATCCTGTCATCCTCGGCCCTTCCCAAAGCAGTTCTTCTGGAGTCCTCTTTCCTGAGGGTCTACACCAGCTCTGATAAAAACATCAGTAAATGCTGCTGCCAGGAGC